CAGAATCGGAAACAGGCTCCAGGCTCCGAGCCATCGGCCCAGAGCCCGACGCGGGGCTCGAACTCACGCGAGATCACGTGAGACCTCGCGAGATCGTGACCCGGCTGAAGTCGGACGCTCAACCGACTGCGCCACCCAGGCTCCCCTGTTGTTGTTTTTTTTAACGTGCTCTCACAAAATGATTAATGGCTTATATTCAATTCACTCAAAGGGACAAGGCTTTCCTGTCTCAGCGTGGTTCCTATTTTCTCACCGACGCGGCTGTTGTGGCTAACTTGCTGTTCTGTACCCCGTGGTGTGGGTCCCCTACCTTTAACCCGCTCCCTCTCCCAGGGGCCGGTCACCCAGGTGGCCTCCAAATAACTCATACGCCCAGGAGCAGTACTTTTGGGTCATAAGTGTGTTTCATCGGACTCTTCTGTTACATTTGCTCCTGAATATTTGCTAAGGAAATAATTTTTAGCACCCAGGAGAGCACCTCAGTTCGGGGTGGGGGGGGAAGGGTCTATATGTGTTGCAAAACCCTCCTGGGGTTGCCCCAATTAGCAAATAAAAATAGTTTTCCTGGTTAAATTTGAATTTCAGATAGCAACACATTTTTTGTATATGTATATTCCTTGGGGCGCCTGGGTGGCTCAGGTGGTTAAGCGTCCGACTTCGGCTCCGGTCATGATCTCATGGCTCATGGGTTGAAGCCCCGCATCGGGCTCTGTGCTGACAGCTCAGAGCCTGGAGCCCGCTTCTGAGTTTGTGTCTTCCTCTCTCTCTCTGCCCCTCCCCAACTCATGCCTTGTCTCTCTGTCTCTCTGTCTCTCTGTCTCTCTCTCTCTCTCTCAAAAATAAATAAACATTAAAAAATTTTTTTAGTATATATATATATCCCATACAGTGATTGGGATATATGTATACTTAAAAAGTATTTGTTGTTTATCTGAAACTCAAATTTAACTGGGCATCCTATGTTTTATCTGGTGACCCTACCTACCTCCAACACGTTAAGATTATTTGATTTCTCAGACCGGGGAACAGAATCACAGAATCAACCAACACAAAGTCGGGGAAATTCCACCAATGCTCGGTTAGGAGTGATGACGTATATTTAGGAAGCCCGTACAACGAAATTACAATAAACGTTTATTGAGCCGCAATTTTCACAATATTTTCATTCTGTTCTGAAATCGGTCTACAAATATCTCTACAGAACACTAAAGCCAGTGATTTAATAAATAAGAGGAATGTATTTAGCATTTTGCAAATAAAAGAAGCCTTATACATTCAGGTCTCTATTGGACACTCACAGAATCAGTTTCCCAAGGCTTTAGGCAACGAAAATGTACACAGAGCACAGAAACACACACACCAGCGTATTCAAATCCGATGGGTTTAGATTAAGCGTGAAATCAAATGCTGCATAAAATCGATAACCAGATACACAAAGGATGAACTCAATCACAAACGCACTGTTTGATAACGGACACCGTTACCTCACTAGTATGATTTCCAGTTCAGAGGGAAATAAAGGATTGCTTCGCTGGATTTTAAGTGACCACAAATCACCGTCACCATCACAAGAAATCAGTCAAATTGCACAGTACCGAGAGATTGAACACACATGCGACTGTTAAGCTGACACCACAATAAAACCTTGAAATCTGCGAAAAGACGTGGGGACATAGGGTCGATGACACCGTTAGCTGCCACAGGTTTCCCGTAAACGACGCAAGTGACCATCAGCTTTTTATGCCACCACAGGGGAAAAAACTGGTCCTGCTGTGTCTCCTGCAAAAAACTCAGGACGCTGAACAAAGCCTGCTTCTCCCAGAGCCTGTATATCACATCGACGGCTGTCCGTTACTAATTTTAAGGGTACTATGCTAGACCCCGCAAAAAATAGATGATCCTATCGCTCACCACTCACAAGCGAGGGCCAAAAAGTCCAAGACTCAAAGGACCGTAAACAAAACTTTGCGGAATGGAGATCTATTATCATTACTATTTTGATTTGGGGACGAGGGGGTGACACCTCAGGGCCTTAGGAATTCCTGCTAACACAAGCCAGCTGGATGGCCGGAGCTGGCTTTTGGGTTCAGTCAGGCAATTCGAACCCCGTCAGGGAGAAGTTACCAGACGTCCTTCACCTAAAGCATCTTGGGGAGTACCAGGAAGCACAGAAACGAAACGGTTCAGAATTTCCGCTAACGACAAGGCGTATTAACCGTGTTTTGGATGCGTTGGCTTTGGCGTGTTTTTCCTAACCTCTCCGTGAGGCCGCTGAATCGGAGGCAGACCGGCAATCAAGGTGGTTTACACATTCCCCCCGAGCCAGCCCTCGCGGGCGTGCAAAGTCACATCACAACCCTCCCGACCACTGCCCCCCAACCTGCACGTCCGCGCCTGGCACCGGTAAGGCATGTTCAAACCCGGTGCTTCCTCCCACCGCGGTGACGGAGCCCAGACACACACCCAGTCCGCGTCCCAACCCCGTGTGAGGGAGGCTTCGCGAGGCCCTGCAAGGCATGCTGCGGCCAGGTGCTTTAGGGAACCGTGCCGAGAACCTTCTCTCAACGGGATTAGCCCCCGTGCTGTCACCCAAGTCACCTTCGTAAACGAAGACCCCGGCACAATTCACAAGAGCAGCTTTCAAGAAATTCTGTTGCTGCGTTTTGCCCCCAGAAGTGATGTGGGTTATCACGGAAACATGAGGCCAACGGGGGGGGGCGCCCCCCCACGGGAAGCCAGGGGATGCTGATCTTGACCAGTACGGGGAATGCCTTTGTGGAGGGCTGACAGTACCACGGAAGCGTCTTTGCTAGCACGTCAGGGAACAGGTCCCTCTGAACACAGACTCCAGAAGATCCACTCTAGTCCAGCAATTTTGAGACGGCTGGTCCTTTTCTGTCCTTGGCGTTGGTTGTTACTGAGGCACTGGAAAATAAAAACTAGTCGAGTTTAAGATCTCTAGAAAACAGAGTCTTAATTCGAACCCATCCACGGTCGTTTCTGTCAGGGTTTTTTAGATCACACTGAATATGAAGTGTCGCCCTAATAGGTCCTACAACCCGGAAGACATTAAAAAAAGGTTTCTCTTCCAGGTATGAGATGTGGTACAAAAATACATTTTTTTTTTCCCATGTACAAAAGAGAGAAAAAAAGAAAGACACGGGGAGTAGTGGGAAAGGCCAAATACCCTAAGAAGCTTCCGTGGAGTGGAGAGAGACAAAACCAAATCCCCAGCTATTTGGGGTTAAGACGAGGCCCCAAAACAAAAGTCAAATGGATGCGTTAAAAAGCAGGCGTTGTTCAGACCGAACGTCCACGGTTTCTACCAGAATCCCAAAGAATGTTCTGCCCCAAAGTGATACTCCTTTGTAACTGTAGGTGCTTTCATTAAAAATAAAGCCATCTTGGGGCGCCTGGGTGGCGCAGTCGGTTGAGCGTCCGACTTCAGCCGGGTCACGATCTCGCGCTCCGTGAGTTCGAGCCCCGCGTCGGGCTCTGGGCTGATGGCTCAGAGCCTGGAGCCTGTTTCCGATTCTGTGTCTCCCTCTCTCTCTGCCCCTCCCCCGTTCATGCTCTGTCTCTCTCTGTCCCAAATATAAATAAACGTTGGAAAAAAAAATTTAAAAAAATAAAAAATAAAAAATAAAGCCATCTTTCATCGCAGTGCATGAAACCAAGGTTGGCCTCAGAGAGCCCAACCCTTGGCTCATGGGGCGGAAACAGCGCATGTGACCAACAGCGATTTCTACCTGGTGCTTACGGCCTCCGCGCGCCAGCGCCCAGGTACATGCGCCTCCCTTGGTTTACCGGAAGTGAAAACGGTTTTCCTGTTGACCCCAACACAGCACGGTGCCTTTCAGGGTTCGCGGGGGTAAGGCGGCTGGGGGAACAGAGTGGATATTCCATCCAGACCGGTGACAGTTTAGGACTTAGAAGCTGTGTGCAGAGAAACGTCAGTTCTGCCCTGGCCAACACGAGCAAAGCAATGTTTTGGGATCTCAACGCGCCCGATGCACGAGAGCCAAACGCACAAGAGGAAGGCAGGCCGGGATGGCCTCCCCGGGGCTATTTTTTATACCCCTTGTGCTAAAAGAGACTGGCCTCCAAGATGCTGACTGCAACGGCTTCGGGCTCCAAATGCCCCCGGAGAAAGGTTTGCCCCGGGCAGACCCCGGAAAACACGTATGCGTTTCAGGAAGCGAACCGAATGCTGCAAAGGTTGGGTCCCGTTCGTGCACCTCACACAGAGAGGTTTCGTAAACATTCTCAGAAACATCCGCTCCGGTTTTCCGGATACTTGCATCCAGCAGTAAAACTTCACGGAAACCGCACAGGAGTTAGCAGACAGCTGAGTGTTTCTCCGGAACGATGCGTGGACCGTGGGGGTCTTGGTTCTACCCGATCCAACTGGGGGGGGGGGGGTCTGCAAAACTGCATACAGAGGCTCTGTCGGGGGGCCGCCGGGGCACGTAGGTGGGCAGGGAAGGATCGTGGCGGCCAGAAATCCCTTTCCTTGTTCATGTGTGGCCTGATGCTTACCAACAGGCCTGGGGGGGTGCCTACACTGGGCCGCGTGCATCGAGCCCTGATCCAGCCTCGCAAGGCGCCCCTGTCGAGGACCCCCATCGCTGTCTGCCCGGTATGTCCCTCTCTGCCCCTAGGCGCCGCCGAAAATGAGGGCACCACAGACTTCACACAGAAAGCACGTAACACGTGTGTCGTAAAAATTTCAGGAAAAAGAATTCGGATCTTCTCCAAGGCGTGTTTATTGCTGCTTACTGCTCCTGAGAATGCCTTATAAGCAGCAAGAGACTTGAAAATGTTATTAGCTGCTAGAGTTTGTTTGAATTCCGAGGTCCTAAGTCAACCACACTACAGTGACACAAATAAAAACCCTCGAGAGCGTACCTTTTCTCTACAGGTCTAGCTGGCGAATGCTGATACCGGGGCATCAGATAGACTCCGGACAGGGGGAGTTTTGGCACTCACCCAGGTAGCTGTCGGCATCGAACTCCAAAGACATTTCTTTGCTTGGTCCTTGGATCTTCCCTTACAAAACGCGGAGGTTAAAAACATCAAAGTTCAGAAAGGGAAAACCAAAACAGAAACAAACGATCTCAGGTTTTCTATGAATAACGATCTCTTTCTCCATTTAGAAATATAATTGACGGGGGCCTGGCTGGGGTCACGAGGACCCAGAAGATGTTTAGTTTCGCCCTGGACCCCAACCACCCACATCCAGAAACAACGACATCCATCAGCTGAGTCACCGTCAACCAAAAATGACATAAAACGAAGTTCACGGTTTTGGAACATGAGAAGAACGCACACAGACCTCACCCACCAATCCCTATGCCGTGACAACAAACAGTGGCGCTGGAACTCTTCGTCTAAAATGTCCGATTAGCATATTCTCCCCCTCAGTGTAAAGTTTTATTAAACTCGACTCGATCTGCCTTTATTAAAAAACCTTACAAAAGATGTATTTAAGTGCTTGAAAAAATTAACTTTATGCACTATGCACAGATAAACTCTTACCATACAGCTAATATGGTTATATCCTTTGTTTTAAAAAATATTTCTTCCCCCACTAACGACCCTCCGCGGGTAGTTCCGCGTAAACGATCCTGTCATTCCTCTGGGAACGTGTCCCAGGGGTTGACACGTGGCCGGAAATGCCCTCGCAAAGCGCCCCGGTCGCTGCTCGGGAATGTTTATTAGGACTGTTTGGGCTTTGCCGTTTTTTTTTTCCTTCTTCTTTTTTGCTTTCTGAGGCAGGGCGCTGGTACGGGGGGACCCGGCCGGCTGGCTGATTGTCACTTGCCGTTGGTGCGGTCGAGACTCTCCAGCACTTTGTTGAGGCGGATGTTGAGCAGTCTGACCTGGCTCTCCAGGTGCTCCAGCTTCTCCTCCACGCTGGGGCCACTGGGGCTGCTGCGCCAGTAGCAGCCCATGGGCCCGGTCATGAAGTAGATGGCCACCACGAAGCACAGGGGCAGGACTGCGTTCTCCGGCTCCCCCTCGTACTTGTGCAGGACGTAGACGCAGGACATGGAAAACAGGATGACCCGGGCGATCCAGAAGAAGTGGCCGAACACCACGTGCAGGAGGCTGAAGGTGAAGCCCAGCGTCAGAGACAGGAACCAGTAGGCCAGGAGGACGACGCCCACCAGCAAGAGGGCGCGGGCCGGGCTGTTGGCCACCGAGGCCGGGCTGAAATACTGGGACAGGTTCGAGACTGCGGAACAGAAAAGAGGAACAGCGGCGGGTCAGCACGAGCCGGGGGCTTCTCTGCAAGTGGGGTGTGGGGGTGCGCTGGGTCTCCGCCCTACGCACGTCAAGTCCGCGGCCTGTTTATCCTTCACACGGAGCCCTGGGGGAAGGCAGGGCACCCTCCGAGGCCACCTGCCGCACCCTGAGTTGAAAACACCTCTCATGGCAGGGCAGAGCTTACAAGCCCGTCCTCTGTCTCCTTCCTTCCTGTCTCCCATGGTAGCAAACGCCCAGGTGTAGGCTGGGTGCGTGGCTGCCTAGGAGGAAGGCGTTTCCAGCCTCCCTTGAAGCTCCGAGACTAAGCTCCGGTCAAGGAGATATTTTGTGGTGGCTTGGCGGGGTCTTTCCTAAAAGTAGCAGGAATGTGCCCTTTCTTTCTTCTTCTGCCTGCTGCGATGGAGATGCGATGGCGGGAGTGGGAGCAGCTACATTGGGCCATGAGGTAAGGGAAGTCACCTAAGCCATAAGACGGACGGTGCCTCGGTCCTGAGGCCCTCGTGCTGCAAAGCCACCTCCCTGCCTAACCACCTACCTGTGAACACTGACACAGCTTTATTGAGATATAACTGACAAAAAGCACTGCATAAGTTCAAGAGCATGACTCATTACATAGATTGTGAAATTATTAGCACAATAAATTTAATGAACATCCATCACCTCATACGGATACAAAAAAAAAAAAAAAGAGAGAAAAAAATGCTTTTTTTCTTGTCCTGAGAACTCTTAGGATCTACTCCTCTCTTAATAACTTTCATATATACCATAGAGCAGAGTTAACTGCAGTCCTCACTTTCTAAATTACACCCCCGGTGCTTACTTATCTTATAACTAGAAATTTGTACCTTGATCCTCTTATTCCAATTCCCGCACCCACTATCACCCACCTCTGACTACAAATCTGATCTCTTTTTCCATGAGTTGTTGTCATTGCTGGGTTTTTTTTTTTAAGTTTATTTTTATTTTTGACAGAGAGAGACAGGCAGAGCATGAGTCGGGGAGGGGAAGAGAGAGACGGAGACCCAGAATCCGAAGCAGGCTCCGGGCTCCGAGCTGTCAGCACAGAGCCCGACGCGGGGCTCGAACACACGGACCGCGAGATCGTGACCTGAGCCAAATTCGGATGTTCAACTGACTGAGCCACCCAGGCGCCCCTGCTGGTTTTTTTTTTTTGTTTGTTTGTTTGTTTGTTTTTAAGATTCTTCATATAAGTGAGATTATCAGGTATTTGTCTTTCTCTGACTTGTTTCACGTGCCATAATGCCCTCGAGGTCCATCCAAGTTGTCACAAATGGCAGGCAGGATTTCCTTCTCTTTTATGGCCGAATAACATTCCATGGTGTGTGTGTGTGTGTGTGTGTGTGTGTGTGTGTGTGTGTTTCACTTCTTCACTGTCTCAATTTACAATCCCACCACCAGCGCACAAGGAAAGGTTCCTTTCGGTCCGCGTCCTTGCCGGCATTTGTAAACTCTTGTCTTTTTGATAATGGTCATTCCAGCACGTGTGAGATAATGTGTGGTTTTGATTTGCATTGTCCTCATGAGTGATGTTGAACACCTTTTTATGTAACTGTTGGCTATCTGTTCTTTGGGGTTTTTAAAAAATGTTTATTTATTTATTTTGAGAGAGCATGCACACGAGTTGGGGGAGGGCCAGAAAGAGGAGAGAGAGAGGGTCCCAAGCAGCCTCCACTCTGTCAGCACACAGCCCGACACGGAGCTCGGTCGCAACAACCGTGAGATCATAACCTGAGCCGAAATCGAGAGTAGGATGCTTCACTGACTGAGCCACCCAGGCACCCCATTAACTGTTGGCCATTTGGATATCTCCTTTGGAAAAACGTCTAATGGGTCCTCTGCTTATATTTTTAAATTTTTTTTTTCAATGTTTTTTATTTATTTTTGGGACAGAGAGAGACAGAGCATGAACGGGGGAGGGGCAGAGAGAGAGGGAGACACAGAATCGGAAACAGGCTCCAGGCTCTGAGCCATCAGCCCAGAGCCCGACGCGGGGCTCGAACTCACGGACCACGAGATCGTGACCTGGCTGAAGTCGGACGCCTAACCGACTGCGCCACCCAGGCGCCCCTCCTCTGCTTATATTTTAATCACACTGTGGGTTTCTCGCTATTGAGTTGTAGGAGCTCTTTATAGATTTTGGTTATTAACCCCTTAATAGATACGTGGTTTACAAATAGTTTTTCCCATTCCATAGGTACTTTCTTTTTTTAAAAAATTTTTTTAAAATGTTCTTATTTATTTTTGAGACAGAAAGAGACAGAGTACAAGCGGGGGCGGGGGGGGGCGCAGAGAGAGAGGGAGACACAGAATCCGAAGCGGGCTCCAGGCTCCGAGGTGTCAGCACAGAGCCCGACGTGGGGCTCGACCTCACAAGCCGCAAGATCATGACCTGAGCCGAAGTCGGACGCTCAACCGACTGAGCCCCCCAGGTGCCCTGGTACTTTTCATTTTGTGATGGTTTCTTCTGCTGTGCAGAAGTTTCTTGGTTTGAGTAGTACTCCTTGTTTATTTTTGCTTTTGGTGTCAAATCCAGAAAATCATTGCCAAGACCGATGTCAAAGAGCTTTATGGAGTTTTTATGGTTTCTGGCCTTACATTTAATAAGTCTTTCATACATTTTGAGTTAATTTTTGTGAGTGGTGTAAGGTAGGGGCCTCGTTTCATTCTTTTCCGCGTGGATACCCAATTTTCCCAGCACCATCTACTAAGGTGACCGTCTTTTCTCCATTGAGTGTTCTTGGCTCCCTTGTCAAATTTCAGTTGACCACGTACCCCTGGGGTTTATTTCTGGGCTCTCAATTCTCTTCCATTGGTCTGCGTGTCAGTTTTTATGCTGGCACTATACTGCTTTGGTTCCTGAGGCTTATAATACAACTTGAAATCGGGAAGTGTGGTGTTCTTTTCTCAGGATTCCTTTGGCCTCTGCAGTTCCATGTAAATTTCAGGATTTCTTTTCCCCACATCTGTAAAAAAAAAGCCATTGGAACCTTGATAGGGATTGCATTCAATCTGTAGATGGCTTCGGGTAAATAACAGACATTTTAACATTAATTCTTCCAATCCATGAACATGGGATAATTTTCCATTTATTCACGCTGTCTCCGATGCCTTTCGTCGATGTCTTACGATTTATCTTTCACCTCCTTGATTAAGGTTATTCCTAAGTATTTTATTGTTTTTGATGCTATTGTAAATGGCATCATTTTATTTCTTTTTCGGATACATTCATCGTTAGGGTATAACAATACTGCTGATTTTTGTATGTTAATGTTGCACCCTGCAACTTTACTGAATTCGTTGATCAGATCTAACAGTGTTTTCGTGGAGTCTCTAGGATTTTCTACGGATAAATCATGCCACCTGCAAACAGATAATTTTACTTCTTCTTTTCCAATTCTGATGGCTCTCGTGTTTTAAGAATAAACATTCTTCTCAAAGTCACAACACTATGGGGCGCCTGGGTGGCTCAGTCAGTTAAGCGTCCGACTTCAGATCAGGTCATGATCTCGCAGTTCATGAGTTCGAGCCCCACGTCGGGCTCTGTGCTGACCACTGGGAGCCTGGAGCCTGCTTCGGATTCTGTGTCTCCCTCTCCCTCTACCCCTCCCCCACTCATACTCTGTCTCTCAAATGTTAAAAATGTTAAAAAAACAACAACGGGGCGCCTGGGTGGTTCAGTCGGTTAAGCATCCGACTTCAGATCAGATCATAATCTCGCGGTTTGTGAGTTCGGGCCCCACATCGGGCTCTGTGCTGACAGCTCAGAGCCTGGAGCCTGCCTCAGATTCTGTGTCTCCCTCTCTCTCTGCCCATCCCCTGCTCACGCTCTGTCTCTCTCTGTAATAAATAAATGCTAAAAAAAAAAAAAAATTAAAACAACAACAACAAATTTCATTATGATTTTGTACTTAAATATACCTCATACTTCCAGGCTAATTTTTCTTAAACAAAATTATTTTTAATGTTTATTTATTATTGAGAGACAGAGAGACACAGAGTGTGAACAGGGGAGGGGCAGAGAGAGAGCGGGAGACACAGAATCCCAAGCAGGCTCCAGGCTCCGAGCTGTCAGCACAGAGCCCGACGCAGGGCTCGAACTCACAGACCGTGAGATCATGACCTGAGCCGAAGTCGGACGCTTAACGACTGAGCCACCCAGGCACCCCGTCTTTTTTTAAATAGTCTTAATTTTTCAGAGGGGTTTTGGGTTCACGGAAAAATTAAGCAAAAGATATAAATTAATTAATTTATTTATTTTTATTTATTTTTTTATTTTAGAGAGAGAGCGCATTATGTGCAGGTGGAGGGGGAGGGGCAGAGAGAGAGAGAGAGAGAGCGAGCGAGAATCTTAGGCAAGCTCCATACTCAGCATGGGGTCCGACTTAGGGCTTGATCCCAGACCCTGGGATCATGACCTGAGTCAAATTCAAGAGTTGTACCCTTAACCAACTGAGCCACCCAGGTGCCCCAATATAAATTAATTTTTAAACATTGTTATTATTAATTCGTTTAGAAACAGCAATGAACCCAGGGAAGTGGGTGGGGGGTGGGCTAAATGGGTGATCGGTACTAAGGAGGGTACTTGGTTTTTGTTTTTAATTTTTTTTCAATGTTTATTTATTTTTGACAGAGAGAGAGAGAAAGAGAGAGCGCGAGCGAGCATGAGTGGGGGAGGGGCAGAAGAGAGGGAGACACAGAATCCGAAGCAGCTCCAGGCTCCGAGCTATCAGCACAGAGCCCGAGGCGGGGCTCGAACACACGGACCACGAGATCATGACCTGAGCCGAAGTCGGTGGCTCAACTGACTGAGCCACCCAGGCGTCCCAGGAGGGTACTTGTTATAATGAGCACTGGGTATAATACGTGATGAATCACTAAATTCTACTGCTGAAACCAGTATTACAGACTATATGTTAACTAACTAGAATTTAAATAAAAATTTGGAAA